GCTCAGAAGGATGAACTGAAGCCGTTGTGTCCAAAGTCACGTTCAGGAACAGCCGCTCACGTCTTGTCACTCAAAAATGACTTTTAGGCAATGAGCAGTTTGAATAATAAAAATATTCTATCGTCATTACAGACACATTAACCTACAGTAGACAGTACGATGTAGATGGATCGTGATTCACTCAACTTGTATAGAGAAGCGTGTATCCACCACTTCACAAAAAATACTGTATCATGCTGATAAATTACGGTAGTCTGCTGCTATTGTTAATTTACAGCATTAACTGTTAATTTACATGCGAGGATGAACATTTAACTGCACACATCTACACACCTACACACACTCACACACACACCTACACACCTACACACACTCACACACACACCTACACACACACACACAGGGGCAGGTGCTCCCTGTTAGCTTCAGTTCTCTAGATGTGTGTTGTGCTGCACCATCGTGTCCGGTTATAAAACACACAGGTGTGTCTGAGCTCCGTCCATCTGTTTCACATCATGATGATTACGTCGCTCGCTCTGTATTTTCGCTCCAGAAGTGATGAGTTTTACTTCAGCCGGCCAGAGCTGAAGAAGGGACAGACGTTTGGTGTCTCTCTGCACCAAAGATCTCCCCAAACCATCCAATAGCTGTTGAGATATGACCGACGTCCCTGCTGCCTAGCATGTTTCTGTGGTGGACAAACTAGCCGGTCATAACTGATAAAGCAGCTCACGGTGTCAGAGAAGCGGATACATCTTGGATGATCCCGTTATCATCCACTAATACTGCAGTTTAACTGAGACATGAATATGCTGTAGTTCAACGGTTTGGCTGTGATTATGTCAGCAGCTTTACCTCAAGACTCCTGAAACAGAACATCCAGACCCTCCTGACCTTAAAAATAATCCCATAAAAACTTTATATATGATTCACAGGACTTTTTAAATCCTACAGCTCCACTGGGAACATTTTTATGTATTCTAAGATTCACCGATTGCTTATTTTTTCCCGCATTGCCTTGAAGTTTGTACTCAACATCCAGGAAACCCGACGGATAAAAGTGCTTTATGTATTCACGTAAATAATTGCAAATTAATAAAAATAAATGTTTTTCAAAAACGTAATATCTCCGCTAGTTCTCACTTTTCTGAATTTTTATTTAAAGTTATTTCGTCCAGGATACATTTTTTAAATATATATATGCAATTAATATTGATTGATTGATTGATTTATTAATGTATTATTTACTCCTTCACATATATCTTTTTGTTTTAAAATTCTTCACCTGATAACTAGATTTCAGATGTGTTTTTTTAGACAGATCTTTATCTTTAATCGCATCAAACCCGCACTCAGTCTGACCTTATACAACCATTGAGAAGATTGTATTTTGGCCAATCACAGCCCTTCACTGTGAGTCAAACACACTTAGATGTTGATGTTATGTGGACTCATCTTCAGACCCTTTCTCTCTAGTTTATAACCTGTAATCTCACATCCAGAGCGCCAGCTCGGTGGTTATTGATACTCTACAAAGCAATAGTGCATCCTGACCTCATGTTGCTGCTTTTATAATCTCCTCCTCAGGCCGCTCTGTTTGTTTGCCAAGTCAGGTGACTGAGGAGCGGCCTCAAAGGTAAGCTCTTTAACTGGCCAGGACATCGTGACCTCACACTGACCTTTCACCTGGCTGCTCACCGGCCAATCACTGCTCAGTCCTGGTCTGCAGAGACTCACACAAAAATGTGAAGAGAAAATCTCGACTGACACGAAGACAAACACTCTCATTGTTGCATATTTCATTGCTTTTGGATGCAAATGTTCTGCTGGACGTATTTTAGACGCCTACAATAGTCAGTATCAGTTCATGTGAACGCTGCATTTAGAATATCTTCACAGCTCTGTCACACCTCAACCTTAGAATCTCAGTTCTCAACACCTTGTATCTTGTTTGTTTGATCTGTAATAAAAAACAAAGTATTTCCCAAAATGTCAAACTATTGAGTGGAGGTGAAGTCTAAGATGCTGCTGGTAGATGATTCATTCATTCATTTAGAAAACACATAGTTGTGCATATTCTTCTGTCTCTTTACAACAAAAGCTCGATATCAGCATCCTGAAATAAAGGTTTCTGGACTCTTATTGTGAAGTCTTGAAGAGCTCCAGGCTGTGCTCTGACATCACAGGAGCCCTCGCTCAGTGTTCTTCAGCGTCTGCATGTTAAATTACACGATGGATCGAGAGAGTACAGGGCGGCGTGGGCTGGGTGCAGTGTGGTCGGAGCCGGAGGAGCTAATAATAAACAAAACCGGTGCACGCTCCAACATTTAACGGCACAATCGTTCAGTAACTCATAATCAGAGACGAGATCAGTCCACCCAGGATCTCATGTGGTGCTCTCTAGGAGATATCTTCATAACTCAGAGGTATTCTTTAATAAGCAGAACAGACACTTCAACTGTTGGATTGTTTTAAATGTTAATCTGAAGATTTTAAATTATATTTTGAAATAAAAAGACATGAACTCTGTAAATACATTTAAAAAGCTTATTCCCAGATGACAAAGCTAACGTTGTGCTAGCTTTTTTGAGTTTTGAGCTCTTGAGTTCTTTAAAAAAAAGATATTTTGCGCTCAACAGCTCACACTTTATATAAAAGTATGAAATGATTTCTCCATTTTTGTATCTCCTCTATAAACCCTCTCGTTTTAACTTTCCATCACTATCTTTACGCTCCTTTTCTTTTAAATATGTTGTTAAATGTCCACTCACTCCCTCCTTCCTTCCTTCCCTCACTCCCTCTCCATCCTTCTAGAAACCGATCGGCCCTCCCTCCCTCTCACAACGATCCCTCCCTCCTCCAGTCGCTCCCTCCTTCATTCAGAGCTCCTTCTCTCTCTGCGTCCTCACCTCTTCGTCTCTTTGGTCGTAGGAAGGATGCTTCCCCACAGTCTGCTGGGTCTGCTGGGTCTCCTCGCGCTCTGCAAAGGTAAGAAAAGCACCGACTGTTCTGTTTTATTCATCAGAGAGAATGTTTGAGGAGAGATTGATTGATTGATTGATTGATTGATTGATTGATTGATTAATTGATTGATGAGAAACTGACATAAAATAAAGTAGAAGACAAAAATAAAGTGACTGCAGACAGAAACAGCTCAGGAAGGAACAGATTATTTAAAGTCAACCCCTCCATCTGCTCCACTGTGATGTTTAAGTCTGGTGGTATGAAAGTAAATATACACCAGGACACACACACACACACACATGGTCTTCAGCTATTCATAGTGTACTAATGTGTGTGTGTGGGGCTGGACTGGGGCCATTTCCACCCTCTGGTGTTCAGGGTGGGGCGGGCGCTGAGGGGATGAGGCGTTTCTTTTATAGCAGCCTGATCCTACACTCCTGTGTGTGTGTGTGTGTGTGTGTGTGTGTGTGTGTGTGTGTGTGTGTGTGTGCTAATTGCAGAGCGGGGATCGCCAGCAACAACACTGCAATGTTAGCTAACCCCGGTGTCACACCTTTTAGATGTTTTGGGGAATACCTGAGAGTAAAGATGAGAAGATGCAGGCGATTAGCTTAGCTTAGCATAAAGACTGGAAGCAGGGGGAAACAGCTAGCTTGGCTAAACTAAAAGGTACAAACTTCAGCCTACCAGCACCTTTAAAAGTCACTAATTAACACTTTATATCTCGTTAGTACAAACCGTACAGAAAGCAGGATGGAAAGACGATAATTTGTAGTTTTAAAAGGAAGAAAACTTCTACGACGAGCTCCTCTACGAGCTGCACAAGAGATTAACAACTGCATTCAAAATGTCTTTCTTATAAAAAGTTGAAGGTACATAAAAAAGCTTCAGATGCGAGGCTAACTACGACCCCCATGGTGCATTGCAGCAACAAACATCCAATCAACAAGCTTTAAAGTTCTGTCATGAAACAAGCTTGCCGTCACGTATTTCCGTCTCAATTTGCAGCCAATTTGTGTCAACTATCGTCTTTACTTTACTCTCGGTTACAGCGTATTATCTCCTGCACGTTTAAACAGTTTAAACTATTTCATGAAATAAAACTCAAAAAACTACTTCGTCAGGTTTAGTAGAAAACATCACGGTTTGTTTGAACACGACTACGTTTGTTACGTTGTTTAAGCTAAAGACGTGAAGAACAACGAGTCAACGGTGACTTTCTGTCTCACGCGGGACACGAACAGCCGGCTCCTTGTTGTCTGAAGCTTGTAGATTGGATGTTTGTTGCTGCAATGCACCATGGGGGTCGTAGTTAGCCTTTATGTACCTTGAACTTTTTATAAGAAAGAAACAGATATTTTCTAATGCAGTTGTTAATGTTTTGTGCGAGGAGCTCGTCGTAGAAGTTTTCTTCCCTTTTAAAACTACAAATTATCGTCTTTCCATCCTGGTTCCTGTAGTTTATACCAACGAGATATGTTTTCTAGTGAATTACTAGATCATTTCACAGATGTCTGCCAGGAAGGATAAAACGTCACTAAATGTCAGTCGGGATTAATTGGTGAGGAAACAACCAGCAACCCGTCCTCAGCCTGGAGTTCAAATTCTGAACTACAGGCTGAGGACGGGTTAAAGACACTTTAAATAGGCTAGAGAGGCTCTGTGTCAGCTGGTTTAATCCGCCCATCATAGAGCTAAAGAGCTCCAAACGTCACTAACCAGATGAAGAACTGATCCCAGCAGCATCTTCCAGTCAGACGGCGTGGAGCTCTGAACCTGAGAAGAGGATGAAGAGTGAGGAGAAGTTAACTGGGTCAGACGAGGAAAACACTCAGGAGGCTGACTTAGTCACAGATTAAAGGTTAAACATCTGCCGATCGATTAATACATTCACAGATGTTTGAAGTTGTGTCTGTCCAGGACACATTTAGCCAGGTGATAAATAATTATAGAAACTTTAGAAACAATACTCAGTCTGTCAGGACACAGGTTGGAACATTTTCAACGTATATTGGCCTCAGTTTGCATCGTCAAATTTGCGTAACATTTAGTGTGTTCAGCCGTCTTCAGAGGCTCTTTAACCTCTTTCATTTGAGAGATATCTATTTGACTCGGTGCATCACGTGTCTGCAGCTCACACATTTCATCGTTTCTCATCTTTGAGGGTTTTGAGTCTTAAAGTCGTGAGTTTCCTGCAGATGTGTGAATCATCTGCATGTGGAGCAGCTCTAACGTCGTCCCTCAGCTCTCGTTCTGACCCTAAAAGTCTTATTCGTGCGTCCAGGTCAGGAGGAGACCGGCGAGGCCGAGTCCTGTGACAACTTCACGGACCTGAACCTGTCGCACTGCTTCATGGGAACCAGCCTGTACGTCCGGCTGCTGCTCTACACCCGCTCCAACCTGGACTGCGGCCGCAAGCTCGACCACCACCGCCCGTCCTCCCAGCCGCTCTTCAACCTGTCCCGCCCCACCGCCTTCGTCATCCACGGCTACCGGCCCACCGGGGCGCCCCCCATCTGGATAGACCACCTGGTCCACCTGCTGGCCGAGCAGCAGGACATGAACGTGATCGTGGTGGACTGGAACAAGGGGGCGGCCAACCTCAACTACTTCATCGCCGTCAGCTACACCAGGGAGGCGGCTTACAACCTGACCGGCTTCATCGTCACCATGCAGGTGAGGCTCTGCGCCTCTTTTAGCTCCTGGTTTGGTTTCTTTTGAGCATTTAGCAGCTAAATGGAGGTGGTGGAGACCAAACACAGAGCTAAAAGAGAGAGAATATTGGACACCAGGACTGCCAATGAATCACCATGCTGCTCTGTAACAGCTGGATATGAAACTTTAACAAATGTATGAAGTGAAAATATGTTAGTTTCAGTGTTTGTCGGGTTGTTCTTCTGCTCCCAAGAGGCCAAAACAAGCAATGAATGCAGCTTTAAAGAACTATGTAAACAAAACGTGTTCCTAAAACAAGCAGAACACTTTGTTTTTGTGTATTCGACCTCTTGACTCAAAGCTTTCAGGGTTCTTTAGGGCAGTGGTTCCCAGCCTGGGGTCCTGGCCCCTTTAGACAAATAAAACAAGATGTCTACCTTGAAGGTGACTCCTTCTGCGTCGTGTGTCTGCAGGAGGAAGGAGCCTCTCTGAGCTCGGTGCACCTCATCGGCGTCAGTCTGGGAGCTCACCTGGCTGGATTTGTGGGAGCAAACCTGAAGGGGAAGATCGGACGGATCACAGGTAACTAAACGGAGAAGGTAACCGCTCCGAGGGTGTGAGGGGGAAGCACAGAAGAGACGAGACTTAAAACCACTGATAGATGGTGAAAACAGAAACTACAGCTAGAAGACTGTGAATAAAACATGTCACATATAAATGGTTTCATTTTCAGTCATTTGCGGCGGTGGAATTAAAGTTATTGCAGATTCTGTCACTCAGTGTAAGATGTTTAAACCCTCCGTCCTCGTCCCCTCCAGGTCTGGACCCGGCGGGGCCGATGTTCACCAGCGCCACACCGGAGGAGAGGCTGGACCCGTCAGACGCCATGTTTGTGGACGTGCTTCACACCGATATGAACTGTGAGTTCAGCTTCACCACCTTCTGCCTTCAGTCTGCTGTTTAAGTCGACACAGGTTTGAGATGTGGAACATCAACACACGTTCTGCTCACGAAAGCTTCGTTTGTTTGTATTTGCAGCATTTGGGCTGCAAGGAGCTCACGGTCACATTGACTTCTACGCCAACGGCGGAGCCGACCAGCCAGGGTGTCCCAAAACCATCTTTGCAGGTCAACACACACACACACACACACACACACACACACACACTGCATGACTCATCACCTGCTCACTGTGGTGCTTTGTCTCCCACAGGGAAATCTTATTTCGTGTGTGACCACCAGCGCTCGGTGTTCCTGTTCCTGTGCTCCCTGAACCGGACCTGCAGCCTCACGGGTTACCCCTGCTCGTCCTACAGCGACTTCCTGGAGGGCCGCTGCCTGCAGTGCGAGACCTTCAAACCGGCGTCCTGCCCCGTGCTCGGTAGGTGGACACACGTAGAAACTGTGGGGGAAGTAGATGTGTCACGGTTTAGTTATGGAGAACTCCATTACAACCAGTTTGTTTGTTCGTTCGTTTATTCATTCATTCATTTATTTGTTTATTTATTTCATTTATTTATTCGTTTGTTCTTATCATATTGATTGGTTTTCATGTTTCATCTATTGTTTTATTTCTGTTGTTTTATTGCTTTGCTTTGTTTGTCAAAGCACTTTGTAAACTCTCTTTTTAAAGGTGCTACATAAATAAAGTTATTATTATTATTGGCATTTACTAAACTTGCCCACAGATCCTTTTTATTAAATCTTTACTGGTTTTTGTATACTATGCATGTATATTTATAAATAATAATAATATTTATAAACTGTAGACCTGTTACAAACACAAGCTTGGCATCTGCTCACGTGTGTGTGTGTGTGTGTGTGTGTGTGTGTGTGTGTGTGTGTGTGTG